TTCTTCTTCTTCTTCTTCTTCTTCTTCTTCTTCTTCTTCTTCTTCTTCTTCTTCTTCTTCTTCTTCTTCTTCTTCTTCTGCTTCTGCTTCTCGTCCTGCTCCGGCTTCTGCTTCTGCTTCTGCTTCTGCTTCTTCTTCCTCTTCTCATCCTCGTCCTAGTCATCGTCGTCGTCCTCCTCCTCCTCCTCCTCCTCCTCCTCCTCCTCTTCCTCCTCCTCATCCTCCTCCTCCTCCTCCTCCTCCTCGTCCTCGTCTTCCTCGTCTTCCTTGTCTTCTTTCTTCCGTTGCTGCTGCTTCTCCTGCTGCCTCTCTGAGGCTTGGGAGATGGCCGCCCATTATGCTTCTTGTGCTGCTCTTCTACTGTTGTTTCTGCTTTGGTTTTCTTGTTGATGTGTTCCCTGTGGTGCTGCTGAATGTTTTTTCTTTGATTAATGAAGATGTTGACAATTGTTGGTGTTGCTTCTTCGCAATCCATGCCAGGTCATTCTTGTTGATGAGATTTTGAAATGGATGTCACGCAACATGAATTGTGAGTACTCCCCATTCCACCCTCGTGAAATTTGTTTTCTCCCTTGATTGTTATTTATTCATTTTAATTTCGACTTTGTTAATTTGTTTGTTTGAAAAACCACCGAAGTTATCTTATGGTCATAGCTTGTTTTGTTTTCACCTTTTGATTATTGTGTACTATGTATAGTACTGTCAGATTTCAATGTAGCTATGCTTTACACATTTGCTGTTTCGTCTTTAGGTGTCTATCTATCTATGGTATTATAAGAGCAGGTTGGTCAGCTCGTTTTGTATCCGACAATCTTATCCCCAACTTGTATATTGTTGATTCATCCGCTGACTCCATTCATTTGAACTGTTTTTTTCTGATCAGATGGGTGAGAAAGTGTGAAACCTGTTTTTCGTATCAGATGAGTAAGGAAGTGGGAGAGGAAATGCGAAGATAATGAGAGCTTAAACCACCAGTACCTTTCCCAGCTATTTTGCTGAGATGCACCGGGTGACACGGGAGGCCGGCGGGGTTCTCCGTGCTACCGGACCGAAATGGCTGGCGGCGCCAGCCAAACAGAGGCCCGCGACGATTTCTTTTTTTTGGCGCGCATAGCTGAGAAAGGTACTGGTGGTTTAAACAACCACTACGTCCTAAAGGGTGCGCCGGTTGAGCTGCTCGCGTGCATGCCTTTGTTTTTGTAGAGTTGTGTACAGCGAACATGCCAACACACCCACATTCAATCACGCTCGACCACAATCAAAGTGGCACGCTCTGTAAGTTAGAGGCACAGTAAAAGGGTGCACTGTACCCAAACTCGTTGGGAACCAAACTGGTGATGACACAGAATCCTAACCCAGCAAGCACAATGTAGTCTCCAGAATCGATCACATGTCCATGTCACAAGAATGCACACATGTAAACCGCCAGGACACAGCCCCAGCCTTACTGAAACAAAACTCGTCACCTGCAAAAATTTCAGTCTTGGCCTACCGGACCACAATGGCTGGCCACGCCAGCCAAAAAATAAAAAAAAGTGCACTGCTGGCGGTTCGGAAAAGCTTGGTGCGCAGTAAGGCACCTGCAGGCCCGGGTGTACTGGTGGCTTAAGAGATGTTGAAGCACCAAAGAAGATCAAGATGTGTGTGTGTGTGTGTGTGTGTGTGTGTGTGTGTGTGTGTGTGTGTGAGAGAGAGAGAGNGGGGGGGGGGGGGGGGGGGGGGGAAGAGTTCAATAGTAGCAGCTCAGGGAGGACCTCCTCTTGCCCACTTCTGCGACAGGCATCTCCCCGACTATCACCACCTCAGCATTGTACATTCCCTCTGACATCCTCTGACATGTCCAGTGTGTGGGTCTGATCATGGCGCCCATCCTCCCTCCATGCCAGCAGCAAGTATGGAGGATGGTGCGGTCTTCCTCACCTTCTTGGAGACAATCAGAAAACCATGCTCGTCGATGCCAGGTAAGTTCAGGTAAGCTTCCCGTTCATCTCTCTCCACCTCACAACCCTGATCTTCCTTCTCCTCCTGGCCCAACCTCAGAGCCTAGTCGATAGCTATGGCAGCAATGGCCAACCAGCATAGCCTCCTCCCCGGCTGGCGCCAAGCAGCAGAGTGTGCCAGCATCACTCCGACAGCCTTGCCAAGCAGTGCTTGGACACTTGCCAGCGCAAGGCAGAACGATCTTCATGGGGTCTGGTCAACTCTTTATAGGGCTGACTCGTGTTGACCAGCCTCCATTCTCCTTGGGTCGACGGCCCAGATGAATTGAAAGCCACTGGCCGCCCAGATGCAGCGCAGTTCCCAATTTCCCTTGTCCCATTTGGGCCGGAATCTTCCTGATACCTGCCGACAACCAATGATGTGCATCTGATCGACGGCCATGGATGACCAGCGGGTTGACTTTGACTTTGGGCCTGATTCTCCCGTGCTGGGTCTGACCGTTGACTCTCCAAAAGTCTCTCGTGGGGGGTGTGGACCCAGTTTTTGCCCCAGGCCAGGGTATCCCATGACCCTAGGTCTTTTCTCTGACATTTTCCAGGCTTGAGGCGTGACTTTTTGACCCTGTTTCAGGCCTTTGACCAAAAGTGACGACCCTTTGCCCGCGGCAGTGCGGATGTGAACTGAGTTTCTTTTGCAAAGGGTAGCTGCAAGAAGAAATGATACTCACACGCACATGCTTTTTTTTGTGAGTTGTGTATAGCAAACATGGCGACACGCCCACATTCAATCATGCTCCACCACAATCAAAGTGGCAAGCCCCTTGTACGTTAGAGCGACAGTTAAAGGGGAGCTGCCAGATGAAAATAATAGGGGTACCCCACGAGAAAGCCAGAGTAAAGATAGCGAAGTTACAAAGAAAAGGCAATGCAACGGTTAAAAGCGTAGCTGCAAGAAGAAATGACACGCACACCCACATGCCTTCTTTTGGTGGAGTTGTGTAGCGAATATGGCGACACACCCACATTCAATTGCGCTCAACCACAATCAAAGTGGCAAGCCCCTTGTAAATTAGAGGCACGGTAAAAGAGGAGCTGGCCGAAGAAAATAATAGGGGTACCTCAAGAGAAAGCCAGAGTAAAGATTGTGAATGTACAACGCAAAGGCGCTGCAGCGGTTTCATTGTCGTCCATGTTGTTTACCACAGACGGAAAGCTGTTTCAAGCTTGGAGTTACTCATTACATGTTGTTGGCGACACACCAGTGCAGTGTGCTTCGTTGTTTGCTATATTGGTGAAGCTGTTTCAATTTTGGATCTACTCTTCTAGGTGGAAAAGGGGCTGTTGTGGTGAGAGTTAACAACACACCGTCGTGGTCACGTCTGCACAGAGAGAAATGGGACTGGCGTTGATTTTTTTTTAATTCAAATACCTCTGGACCTCAACACGGCCAGGCTACATAGACAGACATAAAATCACTCGGCAGTGGGCCCTTTCCTGTGGGCATATGGAGAATTGGGGCCGGCCCTGAGACCCGGAGTATGGGAATCGCATTTGATTTTTTTTTAATTCAAATACCTCATCAGCACTGCCTGGCTACATAGACATACAGGGTTGCATACCTGCCGACCGCCGACCCCGACCACCGACCGCATTGCAGCCGACCAGTAGGCCCAACCAGTCAGAAAACAAAACCATCCACTGGTGTTTTTTCAAATCTGAGTTGGGGGCTGTACTGCGCCTGTCTCTTATACACATCTAGATGTGTATAAGAGACAGGTACTGCGCTTGCTGAGTACAGCCCAAATTCGCTGAGAAACTTTTGGGGATGGGTGGGGGGTTGGGGGGGGGGGGGGTATAAGGAGGTATACGGGGGTATTGGGGTGGTATAGGGGGTATTGGGTGGGGTAATCAGGGCCTTTAGTCACTGTTTATGCCCCCCAAGCCCCCCTGGATGAGGGTATCGGGGTGGTATAGGGGGTATTGGGTGGGGTAATCAGGGCCTTTAGTCACTGTTTATACCCCCCAAGCCCCCCCGGATGACCCATCACCAAAACCGAAGTTAAGACCGGATTCTGACTGCTTAGGCCAAGCGCAATCCTGGCCTGAAGTCTTTTTTTTTTTTTGGGGGGGGGATCCTTGCCTCTTTTTCAACCCGTCTGGTTTTGCCGAGCGACCCCCCCTTTGCCCAACTGGCTGGGGCGTGCCAGGCCGGGCAACGGCCCAACAAAGTTTTTTTTTTTCAGTTTTTTTTTTTTGTTTTTTTTGCGGGGTGCCGACAACCCCCGACCGATAGGTGCCGACCAGCCGACCGGTCGGCGGGTCGGCAGCCAACCAGTCAAGGGCTGCCGACCGTCGTGGTATGCAACACTGTAGACATACATAAAATGATTAAAATCACTCGGCAGTGGGCCCTCTACTGCGGGCATATGGACAATTGCGGCCGCCCCTGAGACACGGAGTATGGGCACAATTTTGACATGCGAAAGCAGGGTATAGGGCCTCAAAACTCCTCTACTCACCAAATTGGTCTTCGGCTAGAACCTGGTAAGATACACTGCCTTATTTTTTTGTATTGTGCACGTGTTGAGTAGTGGAGCGAGGCCCAGAGTGACAATTGGCCTTGGTCGGGGTACAACAGAAAAGACAAACTGAAAACGAAGTACATCCTAACTACAACGGCGGTTTTCCGCTATATTTTTTGAGTTAGGGTTAGTGTCAGGCGGTTAGGGTTTGAGTGACTGTATGAGAACTTCATGCCAAGCCCGGTCCAAAGGAATCGAACTAGTGACCTTCTGCCCATAAGGCGGAAACTTGAACAATAGGCTAAGCGGGCTGGGGTGAAAGCGAAGCCCGTTGAGGAGTACGGCACCCCACCCCAGCCCCAGTGTACCCCCGAACCTCACTACCACCTAGGTGCAGCCACCCCACTGTAGCAACTGGCCACTGGTTACTGTGCTACCGTTTGCACACGAACAGAATGCCCGGTCATTATGCCTGTATTTTATGCAACTTTCAGGCTAGATTCAGCAAAAGTGACCGGCTGTTCTATTCAGGTGAAGACGGCAGTCTCATGTACGAGAACTTCACGCAAAGCTCGGTAAGGAATTGAACTTGGGACCTTCCGCTCATAAATCGGAAACTTAACCGACAGGCTGAGTGGGCTGGAGTTCAGCATGTCTTCTGGCTAAATCAGAAAGTTAACCGATAGGCTAGCGACCTACCACTCATAAAGCACAAGTTTTGAGCCATTGAGCTGCCTTTTTCTTTCTCCTCCTTTTTTAGAGTTTTGTCTTCGTGAGCCGTTTAGCATGTCTTCTAGAACTGGTGTTTTTGGCCCGGCGCAGCAACCGCCAGGCACTTTTCTGTTTGCGTGTTTGTTCCTAGGTCACAGTGTTGACGACTCCTGTATTGTCTGTTTCTGCTTGGTTGCCGCTGTGGTTTTTGTACGCAGACATCACCGGGCGCTCTTTTATTGCCAAACGATGGCGGAGAAGGAGAGATGTGATTCCAAAGCTTGTCAGGGAATGGTAGCGAAGAGGGGGGAGGTGTGAGCAATGACTGTGTGGGTTTTTTCTAGATTTGGGAGGCAAGATTTTGTACTGTCGATGTGATGGTAGTGAGCCTAAGTGAGGTAATGTCTTTGTTAGCTTTTCGATATGGGGTTGCAGTTTTGAGTCTTTTGACTCACAGCCCCAGCACATGTGATTGTTCTGACTCTGCATTCCCAAAATTGGGCCGGGTGGCTGAAGATCGTTCCACATTGGTTTTCATCGAACAGCTCTATGAGCGCCAGCAAGACTCATTTGATGTTTATTTCAGATCGATTAAAAGCTCACTTTGTGTACTTGCCAATCAGCCAGGTCTGCAATCTCGTGCTCTCTGAGGCTATGTTCTTGTTTTTCCTAAACCACCTACCTTCTCTTCCTCCTTCTGCTTTGTCTTCTTCTTCTTCTTCTTCTTCTTCTTCTGCTGCTGCGGCTGCTGCCGCTGCTTCTGCTTCTGCTGCTGCTGCTTCCGCATGTCTGTTTTTCTGAGCACTAAAGTCCATGCCAGTCAGCTAGGTCTGCAATCACATGCTTTTTGAGGCCACGTTCTTTTGACCTAAACAAACTCCCTTCTCCTCCTCCTCCTCCTCCTGCTTCATCATCTTCTTCTCCTCCTCCTTGTGCTGCAGTTGCTGCTTCACGTCCTCCTCTCCCTCTTCCACGTGTCTGTGCTTCTGAGCACTAAAGTTCATGCCAATCAGCTAGCTCTGCAGTCACATGTTCTCTGACGCCATGTTCTTTTTACCTAAACAATCTCCCTCTTCCTCCTCTTCCTCCTCCTCCTCCTCCTCCTCCTCCTCCTCCTCGTTCTTCTTCTTCTTCTTCTTCTTCCCCTCCTCCTCCTCCTCCTCCTCCTCCTCTTCCTCTGCTGCAGCCGCGTCTTCACCACCTTCTCTTCCTCTTCTGCATGTCTGTTATTTCTGAGCACTAAAGTTCATGCCTACCTCCTTCCCATGATCATTGTTGGTATCCCTGCAAAGACGCCACTTTTGTGGTCAGAAAATGTTGATTCTCCAAAAAGGAAAGATGAGGTCTTTGAGGTAGCCAGTGTCCTAGTCACTGGGTGTCTGATGTGGCGGTCACCTATATGGCAGGAACTACTGTGAAAGTCACACATATGGCAGGCACCCTAACAGGCACCCTAGCAGCATCATCTCTGTTTGTTTTCGCTGTTTTTGCCTATTTGCCTGAGAGGGGGGGTTACAAGTGGCCCACAAGTTCTCGACCAAACGAAGCGAGGAACGAAGACATTCAGAGAAGTGTCGTCCTTTATGTCATGAATTTCTGCCGTAACGTTGTACCGGTAAATGCAATGCACGAGCTCCAGCCTTGCAGTTGTAGAAAATAAGTTGTTGACAAATGCGTGCGCTTCGCTGTTTGCACTTTGTCGTGGAACGGGGTACCATGGTTTATCCCTGGTTAAAAGATGGAAAGTAGAGGAAAAGAAGAAAAAGAACAGGTGTACCATGGTGCGAGAGAAACAAAAAGAGAGGGGTTTCAATCTCGGGATCTCTGGGAGTGCAGCTGTCGCATTCTTAAAGTCCTGCTGCTTGAATCCAATTTTCTTGCCACTATGAAGTTGTCAGAATCAGACGATCTTCAATGTATTTGAAAGTTGAAGGATCCCTAGAAAATGAAAGGCCTTCCACGATTCAGACCCCAAACTCGGGTCTCGGGTCTCAGGGTCAGAGGCCCTGGTCAAGAGAGGCCGAGTTTGTCAAATTCAGAAAAGTTACAGTCGGGTACCTCAGCAGTCTAGTCCAACAGGCACCCAGCAAACAGTCACATCTCGGGGACAAAAGTCACGTCTCATAATGAGAAGTCATATTGAAGAGTCACATCCCACGAGTGAAAGGGCAATCCCGTAGGCAAGAGTCGTGTCCCAGAGGCAGGAGTCACAGTCCACAGTCAAAACCCATATGCCAAAATCGAAAAGGCATGACTAAAGGCCCAAGCAGCAGCAGACCAATTGAATGGAAATCGGGGAAGGTTCCACTGTCCCAGGCCTTGACATTCAGAAGCAGACAGGCAGTGGGGATGTGGTACCGGAACCAAGTCAGGCCCCAGGAAGCAGAGGCTGGCTGGCACAAGTTGAAGCGCAAACCAAGACTGCAAAAGGACTGGCCAGCCTACCATTCGGGCAGAGAGCTCATTCGCATGAAGTGTGGAAGTGCGGGTGCACTTGTGCGCTATTGTGAGGGGCAGAGCGCTGAAGCCAGAGTGCTGCGCTGAGAGGGGGAGAGGAAGATAGCGCTGGCAGGGAGAAGGCAGCCATAGCTGCGCCAGTGCACAGTGTTAGTAGATTAGTGGTAGACTTCAGAAGGGTTAGTAGGTATATCAGTGGGTGTATTCAGAGTAGATCCTTGAGTAGAAGTTAGTGAGTGCGCACGCATGTAAGGAGGAGAGATACATGAGAGGGAAGAGCAGTGGAGAAGAGATACTTACCTGAGAGCTTATGCTGGTTACTGGTTACCTTTGGTTTGCGCTGATGAGCGCTGGTGACTTGAACTCTTATTGCTCTTGTAAATACTTGTTGGAACTCTGAGCTGCGCTACATGGTCTTCATCTCTCTGGTCTCCAGTGTGAATCTCGTGTGATCTCATACATGCATGTGGTGTGAATTGTGTGCGCTCAATGATGTTGAACTAAGAGGTTCATTGCAAAGACGAAGAAAAAAGAAGAAGAAGAAGAAGAAGAAGAAGAAGAAACCCTTTCTTTGTGCAAGATTGTGTGCCACAGTTGGAGCGAACCAACCACCCACCACAACTTCAGGCAGTTAGTATAGTCGCCTTGAAACAAGTTGAAGGTAGAGTCCGTGCTACATAGAGATACATAGAGTGCTACTAGTGTATGTTCATTCTATACCAAGCAACAACAGGCTCGAGCGGGCTACCGTCTTCGCCCGAATAGAACACCCGTCATTATAGCTGCATTCGGCCCAACTTTCAGTCCAGATGCAGCAATAATGACCGGGCGCTCTATTCGGGCGAAGACGGTAGTGGCCAACATAACAATTGCAACGCCGTGAGACAGTTTGGTTCCTATCTATCATTGGTGATTTGAAGAGAACTGAGAGAAGCCATCGTGCTCAGTGTAATTCCGTGCATGCATCGCAGGAATGGTGGCAGTGCCGCGGCACGATGATTTGTTGTTTTTGTATTTTTTGCTGCTGAATCCCAAATCGCAAAGGTTGGCCCCGATATGCACGACTTTTCCAGCGAAGGTGTTATGTGACCTGGGGTGCTTTCGTAATTCCTTACTCAGTAAAGCGCTGACCAGTGACTACTGAAATATATGTTGTATACTGCAGATATGGCACAAGGATTGCCAGGATATGTGTGTAGGCACACAACTCTTCCTGGGAAAGGTGGGACCAGTGGTGGGAGAACCAGTCCCCCCAACTCTCAACAGCCCCCCGAGGAACCAGGGGTTCAAGAGTGGTTCTAGCGCGTTGGTGGGTTTGAGAGTGGGTTCCAACCGGGGTTCAGTGGGTAGGGTCTGGATGGAGGTTGGGGGGACAAGGGACAGCTTTTGGCGAGGTTGGAGGGGAGGGTCTGGATGCAGGGACCTGGATGAGAGGTTAGGGAGGAGGACGTCTGTGGGGTTTGAACCCCAGAAAGTAGGAGGGTATGCGTCCTCTGTTGCTGCTCTTCGTTGTTTCTCGTGAATTTGTTTTGTTCTGCCATTTTCTGTTACATGAACAGTGGGTTTCCGCGAGGTTGGGGACCCAAATCTCAGATCCCTTTGGCGGAACCCATATAGCCGCGCCTGCACTTCCGCGCTGTGTGTGTGTGTGTGTGTGTGTGTGTGTGTGTGTGTGTGTGTGTGTGTGTGTGTGTGTGTGTGTGTGTTTGTGCTCTGTAGTCTCGGTACACGGCCAGGTGATGACTTTGAGTGCGAGATGGTGTTTGAGATGGTGTTCCGATCTGTTCATGAGGTTTGTCTCCGTACAAAAATGACGCCAGACGGAGTCCCGGCCTCCTCCTCTTAGTTGGTCCCACAAGGCCTGCGGTTTTTCATGGTTGAGTGTCACCAGCCCATTCACGTGAACAGAGTGAAGGTCCAGGTCTGTCAGTTGTAGAATGTGTTTCCGTTGGTGATTTTGTCCATTGACTGCAATGGCCCCGCATCGACCAGATCCATTCTGTTCGACATTTGGCTGACCCGGTATTAGCGTTCGATGTTCATTGGCGCTGTCACACCGTGGAGTCCCAATCTACTCCATTTACAAGAATGCCCTTTCGGAGGGTGGCACACAGGCAGGTAAGGAGATCCTCCTCAGGCCAGACGTCATTATGCATGACTTTGAGAATTTGCAGCTCAAGCAGGGCACTGTCACAGCAACTATGCCACCGCAAATCCGCCTCCTTCCCGGGCGCCAGCGGCAAAGGGTAGGAAGCCAGTGCCCTCGCCGCATAATAATTGTCTTCCTTGTCTGGTATGAATTCACAAGGTGTGCTGTCAAAAATAAGGTCTCCCATTTGCTACCCCCCCCCCAAACCATCTTTCCTTCCCCCACCGGAAAGGGTAACCCCCAGGGTTCTATGATCTCTACAATAAGGATACGAGGTTGGTAGAATATAGTGGTGCCTAGCGTCCGAAGTTCGCGTACAGCAAGGCCAGTCCGATTTCGCTTCCACTGGGGCTGGGGTAATAGCTAGCCTTGGTGCCTATCACTACTGTCTGGTCCAAGTCACCCACCTCGCGGTTGGGTGATGGTCCTGAGTGGGTTACACTGAGGTAAGATAGTTGGGTTAGGGGGTACGCTGGGAGTATTGATGAGTGGTAGGGTGGGAGGTGACCTCGTATCTTAGGACTGCGAAGGCTCATCGCTCCCGGCGATCCCTGTGTGCCTGGTAATTAGCCTCTACAACATCCCGGACTTAAAAAAAAAATAAAAAAAAATTGTTGGGTGAGACCGACGAGCGCTGTTCGGACATTCCCATTCCCAATCTTTCTTCCTTCGGGGGGGGGTGGAGGACCAGCTACTGCCCTCTTTCAATATTTTTTTGTCTCAGTTGCAGTGGCACCCTGTTCGGACTGTTCCCATTCCCAATCTTTCTTCCATTCCCAATCTTTCTTCCTTCGGGGGGGGGTGGAGGACCAGCTACTGCCCTCTTTGAATTATTTGCCTCAGATGCAGCGGCATGTCTCCGGGCGGGTTCCCCGCCTATGCGTTATGTCGTACTCATTTCAGTAGTTAAGAGGGGAGGCGGACACCCTGTGTGGGGGAATGGGCAGCATGTGATGTCTTTCCCTTGGGGGCGGGGAGGGTGGAGGACACAGCACTGCATCTCCT